TATGAGTAGTACTATTAATCCTCTTAAATTAATCTCGAGTATTACAATCATCCCCACTTAGGATCGCAACGTCCTCGTTGCGCCCTTAAACCAATCTCAATCAAATCCCAGAAACTTTTGTCCTGCTAGTTGTCTGCCCGATATCCAACGGATCAGCACACTGTCGCAGGGTTGCTCTGATACCACCTGTAACACCCCGGCCCCACCTGTCGCAGGGTTGACATTATTAGTTACTTCTATTATTGAAACTTTTTAACTAAAGTGTCACAAATGTTAAAACTTTATCAGATACACTTAGATTAGAAAAGTTACTTTTGTAAAATTTTGTCTGACTAATTTTATTTGACCAATAAAATTATATATATATATATATATATATATATATTAAATTTTCGGAGTGTCACAGTCATATTAAAATCGCAAAAGAGTTAGATTATAAACATGGGAGCATAGATCATGATATTCAATAGCATGCTTGTAATACTCAATGGAGAAGGTTTGATGTACAATGAAAATGTCTTGATGCTCAACTAACAAAGCTTATGATTTTCATATCATTGTCATTTGGTATGTAATAATATTAGAAAAAGAAAAAATAAGAAAAAGAATTAGAAGATGTGAAGCAAAGATTGTAATCCTCATTATTAGCCTCTTAATACTCAATATAATAGGTCATATGTTCACTAAAAGTACATTACTGCTCATTTAGCGGTAGCTGTGATTTTTCACTTAAATTACAAAAATGTAACCAAATTTTTTTTTACCTTTATTAATTATTGAACTGTCTTCTTTAGTTGGGCCGGGTGTACATACATCCGGATGTATATGGGGTGTCAAGCATCGTTTCTCCTCCGTTGCCTACCCTCAGAGCAACGGGCAAGTTGAGAACGCCAACAGAACCATCTTGGAGGGGTTGAAGAAGAAGCTCGAAGACGAGGGCGGCAGTTGGGTCGACGAGCTCCCCAACGTCCTATGGTCATACCGCACCACACCGAGGAGGGCTACCGGGGAAACACCATTCTCTCTTTGCTACGGCATCGAAGCAAAAGCTCCCACGGAAGTAACTCTTCCTAGATGACGGGTTACACAGTACAACCCCGAGGCCAATGAAGAAGCCATGAAGATCGACTTGCACCTCATTGACGAAAGGCGGGAGATGGCTTACCTCAGGACGGAAAACTACAGACGCCAAGTCAAATCTTACTATGACGCCAAGGTCCGCTCCCACGAATTCCAGGTGGGGGACTACGTCCTCCGCCGAAGGGAAGCTAGCAAGCCGACGGAGGGAGGAAAGCTCGCCCTCAAATAAGAAGGGTCCTACATCATTAGTGTCGTCATCAAAGCCGGCACGTATAGACTAAAAAACCCTAATGGATCAGATGTACCACGATTGTGGAATGTACACCATCTGGTGAAATTTTATCAATAATTCAATAAGCGGTGAAGAGGGCAACGTCCCCCACCCCTCAGATTGTTGATTGAATAGACACCCTCGGCCTAGAGCCACTTATTTAAATCAAACATTGTGTTCCGCTTATTCTTTCAAGATTTAAGTAAAGGAAAAAACACAGCAAAACCGCATCGGCCCAGCGGTGTAACACCCAGGACTGGCCGATGTGCAGTCCAAAAAGCCGTTGCAATATACAATGCACCCCAAAAGCCGTTGCAACAGACTACGCACCTAAAACGTCGTGATCCTCTTATTTTCTAAAAATTAAGCAAGGAAAAGCAAAACACGGCTAAATATTGCATCGGCCCAGGCGGTGAGACACCCAAGAATGGTCGGCGGTAAGTGTGTGTGTGAATGTGTCCTAGAACAAATTAGATCTCTATTAATTTATTCTACATGCAATTGTAATTCTAGTCGCGATTATAGGTTACAAAAGATATTAATTAAATTCTTCAAACACAAATTAAACGGCATTCATGCAATTAAACCGACAAGAATCTAGCCATCAACCATGATTAACCCCTTCATCAATCCCAAATCCATAATTAAACTACTCACAATTCATAATTGAAGAATCAACAGAATTGGGATGAATAGAAATAATTGTCATTAATTAAAAAGATGAACTTACAAAGAATCTCAGGTTCTTGGAATAAAATAGCGTAAAAACGGTGTTAAATTTGTCCCTAGGCCTCTCTGTAATGTTCGTAACCCCTAAATAGAAGAAGGAAGGCCTTATTTATAGAAAACAGATGAGTTCGGGTCAAATCAGGATTGCAGGTGGAGTGCTCGGCGAGCGAGCGAGCAAGGAGCGCTCGGCGAGCACACCTCCAAAATCGTTAATTTCCGTAAGTACCTCCGCTCGGCGAGCTCCCGTCATGCGCTCGGCGAGCGCTCTCTCCAGAGACTTCTGCCACACCCGCTTGGTGTGCGGGCATTGAGCGCTTGGTGAGCGCTCTTTGTAAAGAATTCTGCCACCCCCGCTTGGCGAGCGCCTGTCGAGCACTTGATGAGCGCTTCTTCTAACTTGATATTTTAGCCGTTTTTCTTCCCTTTTTGCTTGCGATTGCTTCCATGATCAATCCAAATGCCTTTTCTTCATCAAATCTTCATCGTATACCTCCCGGTGACCTCCAAAGCTCTCAATCCAATGTCAAATGCTTCTCAACTTGTCCTGATTTCTTCTCAACTGTCGGTGCCGGACTCAAATTCCCTGAATTTGACTCAAAACAACACAAAACTCGAACCAACGTCCGGTAAACATAACTTGAGCTAAAATTGAGACTTGCAACACCTTAAAGCTAGGAAAACCATCAAAATCAAATCCCGACATGCATCAAATGTGTGTCTAAATACGGACTTATCAAATCACAGGGACTAATGCGCCAAATGTATATATCATGATCGAGGGAGTTTGGTACATTAAACCCGTCAAACAAGACATATGTTAGTTAAAAAGTACTGATGTATTTGTATCTTTTAGAGTCTTTATCTTCAAATAATTGATAAAATTTTATTCTTTTTTTTTTCAAATAAGTTTCCTTTGATTTGTCATTTCTTACATTTTAATGTAATGTTATTTTTTCTAGACCACAATAAGTATAAAATTAAGATTACTTTTCCCCATTGTGTAAACATAGGGTATAGTAGATTGGAATATCATATACGGAGTACTTTGTATGTACTAAGGAAATTTTTTGAATAAATAAAAAATAGCAGAGCCCTAAACTAGCGGAAAAAATCGCCCCATGCACTAGCATAAAAATTTCGCCGCCCTTGATTTAAAATCCTAAATTCATCCCTGCTCCCAAACTTTATCGGAGAATGAATTATTCTTTTTTATATTATTTAACATTCTCTTAGTTGTAATGTGTGTGTTTATATTTTTTGTTGTACTTTCTCGCATATTATAGTATTTATTCTATTATATACGAGTATCAAGCTGCTCCTTGGGAACGTCACAGTAATGTCATCAAACCACAAGGTGTTTGATTGTATGTTTCCCCTATTTATTTTGGTGAATCTTTACAAAGATTTGTGTTAATCCCGTTATGTTTTTGTGGTGACGGTATCGTTCTTTAATTAAAAACATGCGGCAAATAGGTCTTTTCCGACCATCTATTCTCCTTTTTTGTCAATCTCTCCAATCGTCTCATTCCGTAAATTTCCACTTTTTTTTTCTTTTCTTCTTCAATTGTTTTCTTTTCCTTCATCAAAATATTTAAGAATCTTACTACTGTTTCATTTTTCTTCATCTTCAAAACTATGATTTTTTTTCTTTTTCTTTATTTCTTTAATTACCTACCTCTCCATCAAAATTTTAATATTCTAACCACACTTTCGTTTTTCTACATCTTCAAAATTAAATAAACGTAGATGTTTTCTCCTTCCATCAATTCAAAACTGAAGTTTTATTAATCTAAAATAACAATTTATATTTGCATTTGAAGACTTGCAACATTTCCTCAAGCTATAACTAATTGTACTAGACGGCTTACTTACATTTCAATTTTCCTTAATTCACATTTTTAATTTACATTTCAACTTTCCTCAAGTTACATTTCCGTTATCTCTATTTACATTTCGAATTGCTTGAAGTTATACACTAATGGAAAATCAATATTCGCGGCAGTTTTTAAGGGCCACATGCGACGGGGACAGAAGCCCTTGATGCAAATTAGAAACGTGTACTTTGACCTCACACGCAAAAAAAGAAACAAAGATAGAGTATTGGACTAAAAATTTAAAATTAATGCAGATAAAAGTAGGTAACGTAAAGCAAACTTGATCCGCCTTCATCCAAACCCTAGATTCTTTGTCATTCAATGGCGACAGTTCAGGAGGAAGACGAACCAATAGCTCATCACCTTCCTCCTCCAAGACCAACTGATTGTAGATCTAATCTAAATCATCAAACTCACCTTGCCTGGTAATCATCTCAATTGCTACTGCTTGGGAATACCTATGCCCTTCCATCGCAGCTTGTTGCTCCGATGCCTACTAATCTGACTTTACACCCTGCGAACCAAATCTGCCCCAAGTGCCGAAGATCACCTTCCCCTTAGTTTTTGTTGCTGTCAACTGGAAGAAGATTCGACCAAAACCCGGCGCTACAACTTTGTTTGCCGAAGGACTGCACACGAAACCTTGCGGGGAAAAAAACCACTGCAATATCTTTAATCGAAACACCCCTACTTGGTCTCCAAATCGAAGCCATTGTATCTTTAAACGGCAATAATTTGACCGCCTTTTCTATCAAAACGGTGCCCACCAAATACCACTACATCAGTCCTCCTTCCCACTCCTCCCAGCACCGTTATCATTGACAAAATTAAGATAGAGAGTGCTAAGGCAACAGTTGAAAACTTGAAGTAAAGAACAAGGCAAATAAGAAACTTGCCTCAAAAGGAACAAGCAAAGAAGAAGTGCCCACTAGTTTTCCTCAACTTGGTTCCATTTCCTGGGGGGCAATAGGTTTGAAATGGAATTCTCGACGTTTTATCCCAAATAGTGTAAATGTAAATTAAATGAGTAACCAGTGCAGGATTTTACAATAATAAATTGTCATAAACTGCTAACGCTTTTAACAAGCTCCACATAAATTGTAGGTTTTTGCAATTCAATTATTGTCCATCACAGTGGTGAACATTTGTGGGTAAACAGAAGCAGATAAGCAGATAACTAATCAAGCTTCATTACAACTAACCAGCAGACAAGCTGATATATTAGCTGCCACTCTTCACATCCACATCGTGCTAGAGGCTCGGGAAGCTTCAACTTGAAATGCAAAAATATCGAATATACAACGACTTAAGGCTCATAGCAGCTCCGAACCCCAAAACTGATGACAGTGGTATTGAATAAATGGGTGGTAAATGAAGCTGCAAACCGAGATTTTCATGCATCAGTTACCCCACTTAGGGGGAAAGAAAATGAGGGCCCAAATATAAGTACCAAGACAGAAATTTCTTGAGATCTACAAAGTCTTGATGATTTAACCTGATTCCCTTCCCCACTTTTGGAACCAATATTGATACATTTTAGGGAAAACTATCAAATAGGTCCTCGAACTTTCATAAAAAAGTCAATTAAGTCCTTCTATAGGAGACTGTCTGGTCGTCGCGATTTGGGGCGGTTCCCGGTGGAATTTTTTGATGAAATTTTTTGAGCATCTTATTCATCAAGTCTAGTTTACTCATGCCAAATTTCAGCTAAAAATTTAACAGGGAGCGCATTCAAATTATTTCGAGAACGCAAAAATGCGCAGTTATCTTCAAGAATTAATTTGAATGTGTTCCCGATTGAATCTTTAGCTGAAATTTGGTATGAGTAAACTAGACTTGTTGAATAAGAAGCTCAAAAAAATTCATCAAAAAATTCCACCGGGAACTACCCCAAATCGCGACGGTCGGACAGAACCTCCTATAGAAGGACTTAATTGACCTTTTTATGAAAGTTCGAGGACCAATTTGACAGTTTTCCCATACATTTTATCATTTCTTGATGTAAAGGGAGATGTGCATGGGTAGGTGGTTGTTTAGAACATACTCCGTATATTCTATCATAATTATGTACAGGAAGGGAACAAATATATCTTTGAACTATATGCGATGACGTACATATCTGTAACTTTTCTTGGAGCAATTAAACCCAAAAATATCAAAAATTAGGACTATACCTCTCTCTTAAATGGAATCAACTTTTCTAAATTCTTTGTTTTTTCAGCCAACCATGGTTTTAAATTTTTTTAAATGCTCTAACTTCTTTATTTAGGTGTTATATATTAAACTGAATGTTTTTATATGAGTGCTCATATAAGACCAATATTGCATGCGTAGTATTAAAAAGATTATTGAATAAAATATGACTAATATGTAATAACAAACCAAGCAACACCTGTGATAATTACTTTACTTTTTAAAACACACTAAATTTGTTGTTTTGTCATACTCATTTAGACCACAAATTTCTTAGCAATAGATTTGATGTTACATTACTAATTGAAATGAGAGAACTGATGGGTGGACATAGAGAAAGAAATAAGTATTCTGAATTTCTGATTTATGGAAAGTAATTGTTTAAGCACCAAAGAAAAAATAGAACAGGAAGAGTATTGGCTTTCTAAAATATAAATTATAAATACAAGCTAAGGTACCATGGAGTAGAAGAGGAAAAGGATCATAGCCACAAGTAAAAATTCTAGAGCCGCATAAGCCCATATGTACTCTCTAATGGCTGCATATGTAACAAAAAATGATTATATGAGAAAAACTAAAGTTCAAGTAGTATAGCATATATACAAATATACCTTGCACGACTGCAAAAATAGAAGACAATAGGCCCAGAGTAAATGAGAACGTTGAGGCAATCACAAGTGCCTTATTTTTCATGCCACTTATCTGCAAAAACAGGGTGATCATAGTTACATAGCTGATATTATTTGTGTAGAATAGTATTACAGGATTCACAGCAAATGGCTCTTGGAGGTTCACCACTCCTAAGACAGTGCAAACAAATCTTAAAATTTTGATGAACCTATTTATGTGATGAGTAGAAAATCATATTGAAATTGGTATAAAAATGATTAGCTCTTTATTGATATAGAGGATTAAAAAAGATCTCATTTTCATTTTCTACAAAGAAGATTATAAAATTTATTTGATTTTGAAAAAGAATATATTAAGATTTTAAGAATAATTTTCTTTATTAATACTACCTCCGTCGCATAAAACTTGGCCAATTTTCCTTTTTTGGTCGTCCAAAAAACTTTGCCATTAAAAGTAACAAATCATCATTATCATTACCCCAGTGCCGCAAAGGCTCCCACCTACGATAGGGTAGGGGTGGTCAGATGTTCGCAGTCTTACCCCTATACTAAAGCACAGAGAGACTGTTTCCGGATGACCCATAGTGAAAATCGCGACCAAAATTGCATAGACTAACTGCTGCTTCATAACAAAGAAGCGCAGACAATTTAGTGAGCCATTTTGCTTTATTCCATCATATTCTCAAGCCAAAAAATAGTGAATCTTTGGCTCCATTGCAAATAATGGAAAATTAAAAGTAACAAATGTGTGGATAAAATTAGTTCTCTCTCCTCTGCACAAATATCAACCACACAATTTTTACTTTATTAATCTGCATGCAAGTCAACTTTGGCCAAGTTTTATGGGACAGAGGGAGTATATTATTATTTACTCCACTTCAACATACATTTTATGTGCTGAGAAAAATCAGTCATCCTGTTTGCACATCAGCAAAACAAAGGATCACACGGTGCCACATCAACAAAAAAAGGAAGGAGGCGTGGTGCCATGTCAACAAAAGTTAATGAAGTTATCCCAACAGATCCTGTCTTTGTTAATGGTCTCAAACACATACAACTATTCAAGAAATCATAAAACACAAACTACCAAGTGCAAATGAACCAAACCACACTACGTTTTACACATTTCTCTAAAAACAATTGGCTTCTTTTTCTATCTTCAAACACTATCAGAACTTACCAGTAACTTGTGAAGAAAGAAGAAGTAGCAGATTGTACTAATCGAGACAAGCACCAGAAAGTCCTGCCAAGCACTGCATTGATATGCAAAATGTAGTTGCTAGTTTAACAAAAGGAAGAAAAAATAAGGAAAATATTCATAGCTACAATGTTACACATGCCTAATCACCATTGCTTGTTTCACAAATAGTGAACATTAATGCCAAGTGGATGTCAGCAAGGTAATTTCTCAAAAGGGAAACTATGTGGCATGATAATGATAATAATAATAACATTAATAATAATATCAATATAAAAATAATACCGATAATAATAACAATAACAATAAGCTTTTACCAAGTAAAACTTAATTATGAGCACATATTAGTCTAACAAAATTTAAGAATGGTTTAGAGTATGGGCAGGCATTTGGTTCATTGGCCAACTGAAACAAACCAAACCAATCCGAACCAAAACCGAATTACATCAATTCGTTTTTAGTTTGGTAATATTTGTATCCAAACGATATTAAACTAAACTTAACAGAAACCAAATAAAACCAAACCGAATTATAAGTTTCGATTAAACTTTAATAGAGTATTTTTTAAGAATAACGAATCCGAAACAAACCAAATTGAACCAAAACACAGTTTGGTTCTAATTTGGAATTCGTCCATTTTAAACAGGATTGAAAACTGAAATAAAGCAAACTGAAAACCGAAACTACCACCCTTCATTTAGAGTATGGAAAGAGGTAGTAGGTAATGACAGTGCCAAGATAACTCTATGGAACCCATTGTCAATGACTGACATTCACCTTAACCTTTGGGAGTTCAAAGTTAGCTGGTTATGGTCCAAGAAAATATCTTCTTTGGCAGTACTTGCCACACGATGCAAGGTTACGGGCAAATTTAGCACTTCATTCCGACAAACCTCACATTTCTTGTTTCCTTTCATGCTAAACCACTTGATTGCACACTCTTCATGCACAAGTCTGAGATCACCTTTGCAGTGGCACTCCATCTTCAATGTATTGCCTTCGTCACATGCTTCAAAGCAGATCCTGCAAACAGCTTCCTCTTCAGGAATCTGCTGATCCTCATCCACCAGGGCAGGTGTAATTTCTATTTATTAGAAATTTCAAGAAACAAAATCCATTGAGTTATAGACCAAATGTATCTTCTTCAATCATTTTGGATGAATGGGATATTTATGAAAACCAAGTTTGCATGCTAAGATGTTTTTTATTACACTTCCTTCTAATTTGTTAGATAGACTCCCTTTTTTATTTGACGCGAAAATATTTACATTCTCCTAATTTTATTTTTACTAACTATTTACCTTCTCTATTTATCCTTTTAACTATCATTTGATTCATCTCATCTTTTAGTTTTAGTGGGCTCATTTTACTTTTTCTCCTATTTAGAAGGTGACAATTGTAAAATAACTACGCCATTTATTATCCTTTTAAAACAGTTGTCAAAATCAAATGTATCTTACACTTATGAACGGATGAAGTAGTTATTTACTTACAGCAAAATAGCAAATATTGGTAGACGGAAATATGAACGTTGAGCAAATGATGGAAAGCGATCACCAAAGATAAAATGAGCAACTATCATCACTCAAAATGTTACACCACATACCCACCTCATCTTGATATATAATGTGAACTCCATTTGTATTCTGTCCCGCAAATATAGTCCACTATTATTCCATTTTGGCTCATCCATCCCACAAAGATAGTCAAGTTTTTTTACTGGATGGCCATTTATTGTTTTTTGCTTCCAGGTGTACACCTACTTAATTTACCACTTTCAAAATTAAATAATGCTGCCACATATCAAGCTGTTAACTTTACAAAGGGTAAAATGGGAATCACATCTAAATGTAAAAGCTCTAACTAACTTAGCAATCACTTTTAAATTCGTAGACAAAAAGATAGTGACTATCCTGTGGGACAAAAGGAGTAGATAACAAAGGTAACCTGAATAGCTAAACCATCACCAGTCAAGTCTCTAAATACCCCAACCCCGCCCAATACCATCTTGATGTATTATCTTCTTGTGTTAGAAGAGTGAAGAATAAAATAGAAATTCAGATGACACACAGCATGTGCACTCTTGAGTCATGACATACCATCACATGGACCAGGGACACACTCTTCACGATTAGCAAAAGATGCTGACCTCACGATAACAACATTCTTGGCAGAGAGAGTCCTTTTTACAGAAGCTTGAGAGGTTCCAGCCTAAACACAAGCAATTGCTGTACACATATTTGTATACCTTTTGGTTGAAAGCAAAATGCAAAAACAAATGCCACTCATTGTCTAGTGATGGGAAAAACAATTTAAACAGATCGAGTTCAGGGCTGGGTTTGGCTCGCTCAACTGGCCTATAAGGGACTCGGGTCAACCATATTAAAAGATTGAATCTAATTTATTAGCTAATTTAATCATTCATCTTACTATTCCATTATTTGTTTTTGAGGCAGGACTCTAACACCCCCTCAAGTGGACAACCACACCATGTCACAATTTCGAGTTTTGTGTCTTGCTTTGAGGTTCCACATCATGATCCATGGCGTCTAAGATCCAACTTGAAAGTGATTAACAGCTCAAATTCAAAATGCCCTATTTATCCATTTTGGAGACTGTTAGAGTTCCACATCTAAAAACTAAAGAAGATGGGTTAATCAGACTTTGGGTTAATCCAATTAATAGGTTAAATACAATCTTTTAATGTAGTTTGGTTCAAGTGCCTTATGGCCCTTAAGTAAACCCTACCCAATTCTAATTTCTAACATAAACCACCACGCAAGATTAAAGACCACCATACTCCAGAGAAGAAAAGACATGTGCTTACTTGTGGTTTTTTCTGCTCATTGGATGTCCTAGCAAAAGAAGAAGACTTTGCAGCAGCTTTTGAAGGTAAAGGATTGCATGTTTTCCAAGCCACGCTCGAGGCAGGATGAGCTAAAAGTGGTCTTAGTAGAGCAGGATGGGACCCTGGACGGATGAGAGAGCTTCTTTCACCACCAGGCACAGCAATACTTTTCTTGAAGCTTAAAGCTCGAAGAAAGCCTCCGATTAATGAACCTCTATTTGAAGAAGCAAAAGATCTAGGCAAAGCCTTTCCACCCATGCTACTTCCAAACCCAAAATGCCTTGAAGGGGTTTGAGGCAATTCATCTGCATGCTAAAAGGTGGGAATGAATTTAAAATGACATTCAAAAATTTGTTTATGTACATAGTCTTTAGAGATTCCATTCAGGAAAAAAAAAGACTTTAGAGATTCTAGCTCGACCAACATCTGATATTATGAAGTATGGCAATGGTAGTATCATTTAGAGCCTGTTTGGTAACAGTGAAATTTGCTGAATCGGCAAATTCTACTCCAATTTATGAAGTTGTGATTGAAACGGCTGGATTTGTTAATTCTGCTAATTTATGAAAAAATCATATCTAAAATATTTTTTATTAATAAAATATAGGATAAATTATATAAAAAAATAGCTAAAATGGTCATCTTCAGTAACTCCAACCTTTAAGTATCTTTACTATTACACAATTCAGCGCGTGAAATCAAAAGTTACGAGTTTGGTGAAAAAGTTGGTTGATAAGACTCATAAGCTGAAAAACAGGGTCACCAAACCGGCCCTTAATTTCTATAATGTCCAGTACAGAAAGCTCGGAAATGCTTCTAGGTGAAAAAACAAAACTTGAAGAAAATAGCATATTTTAGGTAGGTTTAGTTGATCTCTGTTGTGCAAGTGTGCAACAAACTGATGCTGATTGTAGTAAGATTTCTGATTCCATTTTAAAAAGTCTATTTGATAGAACGGACAACTTAGTACTTCATGGTAAAGATCAACCCTAAGTCATTTTGACTTGATTTTTCATGCGCATGTGAGTCCATTAAGTTCTTTTATTCCCAGCAGTGTTCAATCGGAGATAGAACATATATCCTTCCATTAGCTACTAGCTAGTGACTCCATATATATCCTTCATTAGATGCAATTGCTTTAAAAGACGTTTCAAGTAGGCTGAGCAAAGTAGCAAACAACTAATATTCAGTCTTGACTTCCTGAAATAAAACTTATAGAACCCTCAACCCTCTACTCTTCTAAGAAGCAAAAACCATATGTAATGTAAATCTGAGAAATAGTAGAAAAGGAAGATACTCTATGAAACATAACAAAAAACACTTGTCAGCTAAAAGGATCAGGGAAATGTGAACCTGTGGGGGAAAAGGGGGAGGATCGCCATTTGCAACTGAGCTAGAGCATCCATCTTCATGTAATGATTTGGGTGTTTCCATTTATGGGTGAAAAGGAGTAAGCAAAAACCAACGAGATTGAAAAATAATGTTTTATGGTATATGGCCTTTCTTGCATCTCCGTTTACTGGATGATAAATCAGATGAGAAGGCCCCAATGTCATCGATGATTGAGGTGGAAGAAAACCCTGGGGAGTGGGGACCATAGATGTTTTGCACGCCACTCTGTATTCAGGAACCTGCAATCACCATCTTTGGAACTTTGACTGTCAACTACTTCCAAACTTTCTGTCATGAAATTATTACCCGAATGATTATGGGGTTTTGTTACACGCTTTAGTAGAAAATACATTAGGATTTAAACTCATTTAAGTAAGGCAAACAAGCTACGGAGCCAGAAGCCCAGAATGTTACTATTAATTAATTTGTGATGATCATTACTGAAACAATTTGTATTTATAGAGAGTAAAACTTAACCTCCTAATAATAATAGGACGTGCGCGGCCCATGTAAAAGAAGATCCAAAAAAATTCGGGGTTTTATACAGTCTCTAACACATTACAAAATATTCTTCATATTTAAAAAATATTTAAGGGGAAAATATTAGAGGTAATGAATAGTGTAGAAAAAGTAGAAGATAAAGTGGAAGAGCGGGAAAGAGTAGATAAAAAGAAGAAAAAATATGGATAATTGAGTATTTATAAGGGAAAAACTTACTAAAAAGGGAAAGCGTAACAAACCTTTAAATATATCCCAAAAAGGAAATTGTAAGAAAGTTTTAAATACGGAGGGAGTACTAAAATAACATTGTAAAATTGTTCTAAATACAAATAAAAATTGTTTTCTGTTTTAAAATAGGATTGTCGTTTTCTTTTATTACCTAAATATGAGTAGTTACCGTAATACTTTGATAGTAGCAGATTTCAAACATTGCAATAATTACTTCAATTTAGGGAATAAAACCATGAGTCCTGTTTTAGAATTTTCAAATGTTTTTACTCTTATTTCATGAATTCTCTCAATAAAAATTATGAATAAAAACGTAATTAATGTTATTATAAGTGTGATTTTATATTCACAACTGTAGTAACTAAGACAATTTGAAGGTATTCGTCCTTGCAAAGAAGAGAAGAGGCTAGAAATGATAAGGAAATGTTGGAGCAATTTGTGGTGGACAAAAAATCATTAGAAGTGAAGATTGATATACTTAAAATAAAATAAAATAAAGGAAAAGGGGCAAATAAGCCCACGTACTAACCAAAAAGGTCAAACAAACCCTTATTTAGGAGGCTCTGTCCGGCCGTCGTTATTTGGGGTGGTTCCCGGTGTAATTTTTTGATGAAATGTTTTGAGGATCTTATTCATTAAGTCTAGTTTACTCATACCAAATTTCAGCTAACAATTCAATCGGGAAGACATTCAAATGAATTATTGAAGATAACTGCCCATTTAATTGCTTCGTTTTTGTTTTTTTACCGACAAAGCATTGTTGAACGAAAGATTTAACGCCAGATTTCATGCGTTGCCAAAAAACAGTACCAGTAAGCCATTTCAAAGTTTTAAGGAATCCTCCATGACCGCCCCAAGCAGTTTCGGGTACTGTGATTTTGTTGAAGGCCCGATAGTCCACACACATACACAATGAATTATTTTGTTTCTTCACCGACAGAGCTAGACTTGCAAACGGACGTGAGCTAGGGCGAATGAACCCTTTGTCGAGTAGGTCATCTACTTGTTACTCAATTTCATTCCTTTAGAATTATGGGTGCCTGTACGGACTCAAGTTGGGAGGTTGAGATCTTAGGATCAGAGGGGTGGCACGGAAATGAGCACTGAAAGGAGGCAAAAACTAGCTACTAGTTCTGCAAATATAACTTCAAATTCTATGGACACCTTTTCCACATTAAGTGCATCAAGACCAGGTGCACTAGATGCAGACTCCATTGTGGTCATAAGATTAAAACTAGTAGGTTGACACTCTTTCGTTGGTATTCCCTGTAACTTATATTTCTTCACATTCACCCAGAAGATGAGGAACATCCTATTCCAATTAGATTGTATGGTATTGAGTGATGCAAGCCATTTAATTCCCAGTACCATATGAGAGTCCACAAAGAAAATGGATAAAAATCTTGGGTGATGGTCAAACCAAGAAGTTGTACTTAAATCTCGTTGCACACACAGTAGCAACGAAAAAATGACTATCACCAAACTGGACCCCAATTGTCTGAGTATAGGAGGTTGGAAAGTCAAGGTCTCTTACCAGTGAATCTGATATGAAATTGTGAGTTGATCCACTATCCACTTACAAGAATACTTCTTTGTTAGCCAATTATCCACACTTTTTTATTTTTGTTGTTGTTTGACTACCCAGGATGACGTTAAAAGAAATCTCGGCATCTACTGCTGGTTCATGTTCTGTGTCTTCGGTTAATTCCAAAGAGCTTGGCATTGAATTCTCGTCGATCATCTAAAACTTCCAACAATAAGAACGTAGTAGAATATCAATGTCCTAGTCGAAATGGGTCCCCACAACGAAAGGTGCTTTGAATTCTCGTGACATTGTTGTTTTGTCACATCCTATGGACGTGTTGGGGACGTGAGCGACAAAGCTGCTTTGAAAGGTGTTGAATAGGAGGCTAGACTCAAGTTTCTTGGTATCACCTCCTTATCACATGCAGATACATCACTAGTGTGAGTAAGACTGGCAACGAGCCTATTCTGAGAGGAATGTGAATTGGGCCTTGTTCCCTTCCCTTGGGCCAATATTTTCTCAAACTCTATGCTAAACTGGAATTTTGTACACGGACCTTGGCTTGTGTATCCTCACATATGATCGGATGTCTTCTCGGAGCCCATTTTAGAAAACCCCAAGGAGGCAATGCTCCGGCTAGTTGGTGACTTGTGCTACTCGACGCGCCCAGTCTTGCCGATATTCCCGTATAGTATCGGTCTGATGAATGTTGTGGATGTTCGTCAGGATTCAAGTACTCTGGCGGCCCAAAATGTTCATTGAATGTGCGCACCGGTGCATCCCAGTGGAGAAACATGCATTCAGTGTTTACCCAGGAGAACAAATATAAAGTGTCACCTTCTAGATGCTTGGCAACCACTTCCACTCGGTCAACCTCTGAAATCGCATAGTATCTGAAGAACTTTTCAGCCTTAATCACCCACCCTCTTGGGTCGCCGTTGTGAATTTGGGAAAATCATGCTTTGCAACAAGAGGTCAAGGTCTAGGGATTTCCTACTCTTCATCTACGTCGTCAGCCTAGTTGCTCTATTTCTTTCCTTTGTGTTCCTGCGACTGAACCTGTAGTGCCAAAAAAATTTCTCGCAATTCATCTAGCAAGTCTAGCTTAGCCGCAATGGCCACCAATGGGTCAGTGTCTCTAGGGTTGTCGCCGATGGAAGAACGTGTAGTCACTAGTCACCATGATTGATCAGAACATGGGGCTCTGATACCAAATGTTAAGTTCAGAAATAGAAGGAAAAGAATTGAATGGCTAAACTCTCCTACTTTCTCTTTCAAAGTATCTCACAATGAGCAATAATAGAAGTCAATGGAGAATCTCCAAGTCTGAAATTAATATTAATTTTGCACACCCAACTTAAATAAGACTGAGCTATTTATAGAAAAGGAAATACAACTGACCCATAACTGACTCAATATAACTGACACAATAATTGACTCCATTCATAATCTAATAAATGCCCTAGTGGAGTGATGCATGACACCATTGCCCACATATTTCTGTAACTGACGTAGTTAAACAAATAAGTAATAAATATTAAATAATTGAAAACTCAATCAACAATTGTTTCTCTTTTCTTACGTCTCTGGTGTGTCAGCATCTAATCAGATTTGGTTCCTATTCGATTTTAGACCTCTTTGTTTCCCATAAAATGGTGTACCTAGACTGGTTGATTTGGTCTAACTTCTAAGAAACTGGAATTGGAGCGGATTTAGCCTAGTTTTTGATTTGGTACGGTAAAAATGGTTTGATTTTGGGTCTATCCTTGGTAGTAGAGAAAATACTCATTTAAAATGGTGAAATTGACACCACCAATAACTACTTTTACACATACATAATAATCCTTTTTGGAAAAGCTCACAACAATAATCCAAGCTAGTTTACTGTTTCGCAAAAATAAGGTAGTACTGTAATAGACGACACATAATTCAGTATTGAATCAAATTCAAACTCAGTATTGAATCATAATTCAGTATTAATTGAATCAAATTCAGTATCCTCTGCCGGTCTATCGACCCACCCTCATCACCTAGGGTTCGACTTCCTATGCTTTCCCTAGCAGAATAGAATTATAGAAAGTCAATTACTAGCAAGCAAGGGAGAAAGTAAAAGTCTGGAGGTAAGTCAATTCTTCTGGCAGTGAGGGTGGACTTTCATAAGGTAGTGTAGAATATCTTCCATCATAAGAAATGGGGAGAAGTGATTAAATAAAAGTGATAGTGTTTGAGAAAAAAGTGATTTTGAAAAGTAAAACTGGGTAGTGTTTGGTAAAATAAGTGTGACATTCATGTAATTTCCATATTTAAATTTGTGCTTTTAATTTGTTTCGAGTGATTGTTACTTTGGAAATTACACACTTTTGGTGTAAATAGTTTAGTTTGCAAAATATTTGTAATATGTTTAGATTAGGTTTATTCCGAGCTCAAACAGGTCCAAGTACACTTTAGAGACCATTGGTGAACATCACAAGTGCAAGGAAGGTGCAAGAATGCAAGAAAAAAATGGAGGATCCCGATTTTAGTCTGTACCCGGTCGGATATGACCTATACCCCCGATCGGGTACCCTTCTGAAATTTCGAATCAAATTAAATCCGGGAACAAGGCATCATGCGGGAAGATTTTAACACGTTCGGGTGTCCATACCCGATCGGGTGACCGACAGACCCGATCGGGTATGACCCCATTTCCCAGCTTCGACGAAGCCACATCTTGTACCCGATCGAGTGGGCTGAAAACCCGATCGGGTACACGACCCTGCAGGCCTAAAAAGCCTATAAATACACCCCATTTCCTCCACAAGAAGACCACCACCAATTCACATATACTTCTAAGCTCAGTTTAGACAAGTTCTTTCTTTATATTTTTATCATGTTTAGTCTCCAAATGAGGAGCTAAACTCTTCCATCTTGGTTTTGCTACTTT